TGGGGAGTGTCAGGGGTGTGCCAGAGTGTCAGAGGAGTAACTGGGGAGTGTCAGGGTGTGCCCCCGGTCCGACTAATTACCCAAATGTATGCCAATGAGAAGTCAAATAATGGTCCTACATGAATAAATCGGACTGCTAATCACTTTTCGACCAGTATTTGGTGTCGAAAAGTCACAAAAAATTGGAAAACTTACTTTAATCTGAGTTAATAGTTCGCGTGCATGTACCAAGGCAGTAATTACCCAAATGTGGCCAAATGTATACCAATGAAGTCAAATGATGGTCGTACAAGCGTAAATCGGGCTGTGAATCACTTCTCGATTATTATTGTGGCAAAGTCACAAAAATTGACAATAATTTAATCTGAGTTGTGTTAGGTTAGGTTGAGTACATGCACTTGATCTATTAACTCAGAATAAATTAAGTTTACCAATTTTAAGACTCAGTGACACCAAATACCAGTCGAAGTGATTATGATCGATTTATTCATAAAGGACTATTATTTGACTATTCTGACTTCAAACGACCAAATAATATTTACAAATGTACTCAAATCTGTACCAATGAAGTCAAATAATGGTCCTACATGAATAAATCGGACTGCTAATCACTTCTCGACCAGTATTTGGTGTCAGAAAGTCACAAAACATTGGAAAACTTACTTTAATCTGAGTTAATAGTTCGCGTGCATGTACCAAAGGAGCGAGTAATTACCCAAATGTGGCCAAATGTAGCCGCAATGAAGTCAAATGATGGTCGTACAAGCGTAAATCGGGCTGTGAATCACTTCTCGATTATTATTTGGTGGCAAAGTCACAAAAATTGGTAAACTTAATTTAATCTGAGTTGTATTGTGTTAGGTTACGTTAGGTTAGATTAGATTAGGTTAGGTAAATGCACTCGATCTATTAACTCAGATTAAATTAAGTTTACCAATTTTTTGTGACTTTCTGACACCAAATACTAGTCGAGAAGTGATTAGCAGTCCGATTTATTCATCTAGGACCATTATTTGACTTCATTCCGGCTATATTTGTGTACACTTGAGTACATTTGGGTACATTTGGGTAATTAGTCGGACCCTGACAGAGGTGTATAAATGGAAGTCAGGGCTAAACAAAGGGGACATTGCAAAGGTACTCAAACTATCCAAACAGGAGCGAACTCGTAACAATGGTTTTAAATTAGACAAATATAGATTTAGGCGCGAAGTAGGTAAACACTGGTTTGGTAACAGAGTAGCGGATGAATGGAACAAGTTACCAAATATCATCATTAACTCGAATACGCTGGATAGCTTCAAACATAGGTTGGATGCTTATATGAGCAATAGGGGTTGAGTGTAAATGGGACTGCCCAGTATGGGCCAATAGGCCCGCTGCAGTTTCCTCCATTCTTATGTTCTTTTATGGTTTAGCGATATGTACTCAAACCTACCAGCATTATGTGGTTCGTTACTTAAGATTCAACAGTTCAGTGATAAACAAATGCGCATTAGCTGTAGCGATATACTGTAGGTCATGATGTAGTGAGGCGGGGCAGTACTAGACCAATCAGGAAGTCCCATGTGTAGTAAAATACCATAAAGTATAAACTTCTTGAAATCGTAAATATAAAAGTATAAACTTCCTGATAAAAACGTAAATAAAAAGTATAAACTTCTTGATAAAAACGTAAATAAAAAAGTATAAACTTCCTGATAAAAACGTAAATAAAAAAGTATAAACTTCTTGACAACGTAAATAAAAAAGTATAAACTTCTTGATAAAAACGCATATAAAAAAGTGTAAACTTCTTGAAATCGTAAACAAAATATTATAAATGTAGGTTATGTATCTAAGCTACTGTGCCGAGTAGCAACCCTGTACATAAGCTACTGTGCCGAGTAGCAACCCTGTACATAAGTTACTGTGCCGAGTAGCATATATATATATATATAATCACGTGGCAACACTGCACGTGTTATGTGGCAACATTGCCCCGAGGCTGCCATATGGCAAGGTGCCTCAGTCTGACTGTGTGAGCCGTGCATGGCACACGCGAGTCACCACTTGTATTTCTCTCATCCATAATAAACGGACTCAGTGTTACTCTGTTTCCCTAGCCATCACTGCATTCTTCAGGGCACACTAGTAACTTTTAATAAACTTCTTGACAACGTAAATAAAAAAGTATAAACTTCTTGACATCGTAAATAAAAAAGTATAAACTTCTTAATAGAAACTTAAATATAAAAGTATAAACTTCTTGATACTTCACAATAAATCAATCATCACAAGACACCATGATGAACGTGTTGTCAGATCCAGCACCACCACCTGTGTCCTTGTTCCCCCCCCCCACCCCTTCCCTGCATGGCCCCTGGATATATATACTGAAGAACACAAAGAACATGAACACGAGTGAACACCTTAAGACAATACACCAAGTAACAATGTTCTTACCCGGGTCAACATTAACATCCATCTGAGTTTCCGAATCACAAATTTTTAACTAACATTTAATCGGTTTTCAGAATGCATTAACTTTCCGATTTAATTTCAATATAAATAAGTAGTTCCTCTCTCACAAGATTACCACACACATACACGCACATACACACACACATATACACGCACACACGTACCTCCTGGTCGTAAGATGAAGCAATGTTTAAGTTGTTATGGTCAATCTCTTGTGTATTTTCTCCTCTCTGGTAACACGCCTTGGGACCACACAGCCAGACAGACACTCCGACGCCGTTGTCTCCACTTAGGTGGGTCACCATATATATGCAGTCACTATAAAACCACTTGGACAGGTCACCACACAACGGCACTATAGGATCACTTGGACAGGTCACCACACAACGTCACTATTGAATCACTTGGACAGGTCACCACACAACGTCACTATAGAATCACTTGGACAGGTCACCACACAACGTCACTATAGAATCACTTGGACAGGTCACCACACAACGTCACTATAGAATCACTTGGACAGGTCACCACACACACCTCCTGTCACCCCGACAGACCTAGGGGTACTGACCGTTGACACTCACTCTACCCGCCTGTAAAAAAAACTACCCAACCACCTCGTTAATGATCGTTTGCAGCGCTAAAGACAATTACGATAATACACGTTTTACTGTTATATTTATTTACTATTATTCTTTAATATTCTGGTTTAGTTTCGTGTTTTTTTTTTAGTATTTAGTGAATTAGTGAATTATATGAAGGTTAGTCCTATTTTATTTCACCTGAAGATTAAACCTTCTAACGCTACACCTGGGGATTAGATTAGGTTAGGTTGGATTAAATAAGGTTAGATTAGAGTATATTAGGTTGGATTAAGTTAGGTTAGGGTGGCTAATCTTAAGGTGCAATAACTTGAGGGATGTTGATCTTCAGGTGATACAAATTAATTAACACAGGTAAATGACTTGAAATAATCATTGTTTTTCTTTACCTCAATTGCGTTTCGTTTATCATCTGTCCGCTGTCTGTTGCGGTCACCCGTTGTATGTCTGTGGCGTTTGTCTGTTACGTTTGTTTGATGACTGGGTCCTACGTCCATACATTGTCTGTGGGTTTTGTCTCTGTTGTCTGTGTTCCTTTAGTCCATCCGTTGCCAATACGTTCCTTTGGTCTGTTGTCTGTGGGTTTCGTCTGTCTGTTGTCTGTGTTCCTTATGTCCGTTGTCTGTCCTTTCCGTCTACCCATATCAGTGAGCTGAGGAACATTCCTTGTGACAGATAGACAGTATGTATTAAACACACCTGTATATAATTTACGAGAGGAGAACAACTCACTAATTTCGCGGATTTAGACTCGCGTTTACACTTTTCGCGAACATCTCAGTAATTTCGCGGATTTTGGACTCGCGTTTACACATTTCGCGAACTTTTAGATCCGACTACAACGTCTCACGATTCCTTACCCGAGGCAGTAGATAATAATAACGCAAAATGGTTCATTAAAACAAAAATATGAGACAATCAGAGAAATATTGTATTACTGTAACACACTGTAATGACTCGGCTGAAATTTGGACCCAAGTGTGACTAAGTCTCTCTCTCTCTCTCCCTCTCTCTCTCTCTCTTACGTGTTACAGGTGTGAAGAGGGTGGCAGCATATGTGTTACAGGTGTGAAGAGGGTGGCAGCATATGTGGTACAGGTGTGAAAAGGGTGGCAGCTTATGTGTTACAGGTGTGAAGAGGGTGGCAGTATATGTGTTACAGGTGTGTAGAGGGTGGCAGCATATGTGTTACAGGTGTGAAGAGGGTGGCAGCATATGTGTTACAGGTGTGAAGAGGGTGGCAGCATATGTGGTACAGGTGTGAAGAGGGTGGCAGCATATGTGTTACAGGTGTGAAGAGGGTGGCAGCATATGTATTTACAAGATTAATGAAGAGACATATGTGGGCAGGTGTGAAAGGGGTGTGGCATTTAGCAGTTAGTGGGTGGGTTGGTCAGGAGGAGCTGTGGTGGGGTGGAGGGTAGGGTGCATGGTGGTGGTGGGTGAGGGGTGGGCCAGCAGCCAAGGTAGTGGTGGAGAAAGGTGGGCGGACAGCCGCGGTGGAGCGGACAGCCGCGCAGTCAGAGCAGACTATGCCCAGTGGGCGGACAGTCAGCAGTGGGCAGGATGAATGCATGAAGTGGGCCAGGGTGATCATGATGGAGCGGACAGTCGCAGTGGAGCGGACAGTCATGGAGTGGGCAAGACGGGTGACACACATGCACACTGATCAACATTCAAGCACCACCACCGCCCAGGGCAAGAGCTAGTGTAGTCACCCCGGCATCCGACCACCAGATTCCAAACTTTCATCTCAAGAATTTCAATGCCACGATCGCAATTCTGGAAGCTGATCAGTGCAGGTTAGATCACCAATTCCTGGAAGCTGTTCTAGATTGAGTTAGATCACCAATTCCTGGAAGCTGATCAATTGGGAGTTAGATCCGCAATTCCTGGAAGCTGATCGAATTGGGTTAGATCTGCAATTCCTGGAAGCTAATCAAGTGCAGTTAGATCTGCAATTCCTGGAAGCTGATCAATTGAGTTGATTACCAATTCCTGGAAGTTGATCAATTAAGAGTTACTAAATTGATATTCATTGTTACGATTAAGTGAGCTAGGTTACATTGGATTGGAGATTAGGTTCATTAGGTTTGGGGTGACTTGGGAGGCCGAGGGGTGACTGGGAGCGTCGGAGGGGTGACTGGGAGCGTCGGAGGGTGACTGGGAGCGTCGGAGGCATTGGGAGCCGGAGGGGGTGACTGGGAGCGTCGGGGGGTGACTGGAGCGTCGGAGGGTGACTGGGAGCAGGAGGGGGTGAATGGGAGCGTCGGAGGGGTGAGCTGGGGGGAGCGTCGAGGTGACTGGGAGCGCGAGGTGTCCTCGGAGGGGTGACTGGGAGCGTCGGAGGTAGACCGGGAGCGTCGGAGGACTGACCTGAGGACGGGCGTCGGAGGGGTGACTGGGAGCGTCGAGGGGTGACTGGGAGCGCCGAGGGGCAACTGGGAGCGTCGGAGGGCAGACTGGAGCGTCGGAGGAGACTGGGAGCGTCGGAGGGGCACACCCTGAGACGGGAGCGTCGGAGGGGTGACCTGGGAGCGTCGGGAGGGTGACTGGGAGCGTCGGAGGGTGACTGGGAGCGTCGGAGGGTGACCTGGGAGCGTCGGAGGCACTGGAGCGTCGGAGGGGTGACTGAAACTGGGAGCGTCGGAGGGTGACTGGGAGCGTCGAGGGTGACCGAGCGTCGGAGGTGAGCGGGAGCGTCGGAGGGTGACTGGGAGGCAAGACCGGAGCGTCGAGAGACTGGGAGCGTCGGAGGGTGACCTGGACGTCGGAGGGTGACTGGGAGCGTCGGAGGGTGACCGGGAGCGTCCGGAGGGGTGACTGGGAGCGTCGAGGGTGACTGGGAGCGTCGGAGGGTGACCGGGAGCCAACACGTCAGGAGGCACGGGAGCGCAGGAGGGGTGACTGGGAGCGTCGGAGGTGCGTGGAGACTGGGAGCGTCGGAGGGTGACTGGGAGCGTCGGAGGGCGACCGTGGAGCGTCGGAGGGGGGTGACCGGGAGCGTCGAGGGTGACTGGAGCTGCCGGAAAGGACCACCGCGTCGCAGGCGACTGGGAGCGTCGGAGGAAGACTGGGAGCGTCGGAGGGTGACTGGGGAGCCGTGAGGGGCAGAATTGGGGAGCGTTTGAGGCACTCGGAGCAAGCCGGAGGGGTGACTGGGGAGCGTTTGGAGGCATCGGATGCTCGAAAGACTGGGAGCGCTTCCAGGGTGACTGGAGCAAGCCGAGGCACTGGGAGCGTCGGAGGTGACTGGGAGCCGGAGGGTGACTGGGGAGCAATGCGAGGGTGACCGGGAGCGTCGGAGTGGGTGATCAAGCTGCGTCGGAGGGGTGACTGGGAGCGTCGGAGGGGTGACTGGGAGCGTCGGAGGGGTGGACTTTGGGAGCTGCTTCTGGAGGGTGACTGGATGTCGGAGGGGTGACTGGGAGCGTCGGAGGGGTGACTGGGAGCGCCTGGAGGGTGACTGGGAGCGTCGGGAGGGGTGACTGGGAGCGTCGGAGGGGTGACTGGGAGCGTCGGAGGGGTGACTGGGAGCACGGAGGGGTGACTGGGAGCAAGCCCAGGGTGACTGAGCAAGCCGGAGGGGGTGACTGGGAGCAAGCCTGGAGGTGATCAGAGCGTCGGAGGGGTGACTGGGAGCGTCGGAGGGGTGACTGGGAGCGTCGGGAGGTGACTGGGAGCCGAGGCACTGGGAGCGTCGGAGGGGTGACTGGGAGCGTCGGAGGTGACTGGGGAGTCGGGAGGGTGACTGGAGCGTCGGAGGGGTGACTGGGAGCGTCGGAGGGGTGACTGGGAGCTGCCCAGAGGGGTGACTGGGAGCGTCGGAGGTGACTGGGAGCGTCGGAGGTGACTGGGAGCAGCCGAGGGTGACTGGGAGCGTTTGGAGGGGGACTGGGAGCGTCGGAGGGTGACTGGGAGCGTCGGGAGGGGTACTGGGACAAGTCGGAGGGGTGACTGGGAGTGTCGGAGGGGTGACTGGGAGCAAGCCGGAGGGTGACTGGGGAGTGCCTGGAGGGGTGACTGGGAGCGTCGGAGGGGTGACTGGAAAGGCCGGAGGGGTGACTGGGAGCGTCGGGAGGGGTGACTGGGAGCAGCCGAGGGTGACTGGGAGCGCCGGAGGGTGACTGGGAGCGTCGGAGGGTGACTGGGAGCGTCGGAGGGGTACTGGGACGTCGGAGGGGTGACTGGGAGCGTCGGAGGGGTGACTGGGAGCGCCGGAGGGTGACTGGGGAGCGTCTGGAGGGGTGACTGGGAGCGTCGGAGGGGTGACTGGAAAGGCCGGAGGGGTGACTGGGAGCGTCGGGAGGGTGACTGGGAGCGTCGGAGGGGTGACTGGGGAACGTCGGAGGGTGACTGGGAGCGGAGGACTGGGAGCGTCGGAGGGGTGACTGGGAGCGTGGAGGGGTGACTGGGAGCGTCGGAGGGGTGACTGGGAGCGTCGGAGGGTGACTGGGAGCGAGGGTGACTGGGAGTGCGGAGGGGTGACTGGGAGCGTCGGAGGATGGGGTGAGCGTCGGAGGGGTGACTGGGAGCGTCGGAGGGGTGACTGGGGAGCGTCGGAGGGTGACTGGGAGCGTCGGAGGGGTGACTGGGAGTCGGGAGGGTGACTGGGAGCGTCGAGGGACTGGGAGCTGCGAGGGGTGACTGGGAGCGTCGGAGGGGTGACTGGGAGCGTCGGAGGGTGACTGGGAGCGTCGGAGGGTGACTGAGCGTCGGAGGTGACTGGGAGCGGGAGGGGTGACTGGGAGCGTCGGAGGGGTGACTGGGAGCGTCGGAGGGTGACTGGGAGCGTCGGAGGGTGACTGGGGAGCGTCGGAGGTGACTGGGAGCGTCGGAGGGGTGACTGGGGAGCGTCGGAGGGGTGACTGGAGCGTCGGAGGGTGACTGGGAGCGTCGGAGGGGTGACTGTCGGAGGGGTGACTGGGAGCGTCGAGGGTGACTGGAGCGCCGGGGACACGCGTCGGAGGTGACTGGGAGCGTCGGAGGATGACTGGGAGCGTCGGAGGGTGACTGGGGAGCCGGAGGGAGGGAGCGTCGGAGGACTGGGAGCGTCGGAGGGGTGACTGGGGAGCGGAGGCATCGGATGCTGACTGGGAGCGTCCAGGGTGACTGGAGCAGCCGAGGCACTGGGAGCGTCGGAGGTGACTGGGAGCGTCGGAGGGTGACTGGGGAGCGTCGGAGGGTGACTGGGAGCGTCGGAGGGGTGACTGGGAGCGTCGGAGGGGTGACTGGGAGCGTCGGAGGGGTGACTGGGAGCGTCGGAGGGGTGGACTTGGGAGCGCTCGGAGGGTGACTGGACGTCGGAGGGGTGACTGGGAGCGTCGGAGGGGTGACTGGGAGCGTCGGAGGGTGACTGGGAGCGTCGGAGGGTGACTGGGAGCGTCGGAGGGGTGACTGGGAGCGTCGGAGGGGTGACTGGGAGCACGGAGGGGTGACTGGGAGCAGCCGAGGGTGACTGAGCGCCGGAGGGGTGACTGGGAGCAGTCGGAGGTGATGGGAGCGTCGGAGGGGTGACTGGGAGCGTCGGAGGGGTGACTGGGAGCGTCGGAGGTGACTGGGAGCCGAGGCACTGGGAGCGTCGGAGGGGTGACTGGGAGCGTCGGAGGTGACTGGGGAGTCAGGAGGGTGACTGGAGCGTCGGAGGGGTGACTGGGAGCGTCGGAGGGGTGACTGGGAGCGTCAGAGGGGTGACTGGGAGCGTCGGAGGTGACTGGGAGCGTCGGAGGTGACTGGAGCGTCGGAGGAGTGACTGCAGGGCGTCGGAGGGGTGACTGGGAGCGTCGGAGGGGTGACTGGGAGCGTCGGAGGGTGACTGGGAGCGTCGAGAGGGTGACTGGGAGCGTCGGAGGGTGACTGGGAGCGTCGGAGGGGGTGACTGCAGGAGCGTCGGAGGGTGACTGGGAGCGTCGGAGGGGGTGACTGGGAGCGTCGGAGGTGACTGGGAGCGTCGGAGGGTGACTGGGGAGCGTCGGAGGGTGACTGGGAGCGTCGGAGGGGGTGACTGGGAGCGTCGGAGGGTGACTGGGAGCGTCGGAGGGGTGACTGGGGGCGTCGGAGGGTGACTGGGAGCCTCGGAGGAGGGTGACCTGGGGAGCGTCCGGAGGGGTGACTGGGAGCGTCGGAGGGTGACTGGGAGCGTCGGAGGGTGACTGGGAGCGTCAGAGGGGGTGACTGGGAGCGTCGGAGGGTGACTGGGGAGCCTCGGAGGGGTGACTGGGAGCGTCGGAGGGTGACTGGGGCGTCAGGTGTGACTGGGAGCGTCGGAGGTGTGACTGGGAGCGTCGGAGTGTGACTGGGAGCGTCGGAGAGGTGTGACTGGGAGCGTCGGAGGCATGACTGGGGAGCGTCGGAGGTGTGACTGGGAGCGTCGGAGGAAGTGTGACTGGGGAGCGTCGGAGAGGTGTGACTGGGAAGCGTCAGGAGGTGTGACTGGGAGCGTCGGAAGTGTGACTGGGAGCGTCGGAGGTGTGACTGGGAGCGTCGGAGGTGTGACTGGGAGCGTCCGGAGGTGTGACTGGGAGCGTCGGAGGTGTGACTGGGAGGCATCGGAGGTGTGACTGGGGCGTCGGGAGGTGTGACTGGGAGCGTCGGGTGTGACTGGGAGCGTCGGAGGTGTGACTGGGAGCGTCGGAGGTGTGACTGGGAGCGTCGGAGGGTGTGACTGGGGCGTCAGGTGTGACTGGGAGCGTCGGAGGTGTGACTGGGAGCGTCGGAGGTGTGACTGGGAGCGTCCGGAGGTGTGACTGGGAGCGTCGGAGAGTGTGACTACAGGAGCGTCGGAGGTGTGACTGCAGGAGCGTCGGAGGTGCTTCGGCTGGGAGCGTCGGAGGTGTGACTGCAGGAGCGTCGGAGGTGTGACTGGGAGCGTCGGAGGTGTGACTGGGAGCGTCCGGAGGTGTGACTGGGAGCGTCGGAGGTGTGACAGGGAGCGTCGGAGGTGTGACTGGGAGCGTCGGAGGTGTGACTGGGAGCGTCGGAGGTGTGACTGGGAGCGTCGGAGAGTGTGACTGGGAGCGTCGGAGGTGTGACTGGGAGCGTCGGAGGTGTGACTGGGAGCGTCGGAGGTGTATTTGGGAGCGTCAGGTGTGTGAGCTGGGAGCGTCAGGTGTGACTGGGAGCGTCGGAGGTGTGACTGTAGGAGCGTCGGAGGTGTGACTGGGGAGCGTCGGAAGTGTGACTGGGAGCGTCGGAGGTGTGACTGGGGCGTCGGAGAGTGGGCTGGGAGCGTCGGAGGTGTGACTGGGAGCACGTCAGGTGTGACTGGGAGCGTCGGAGAGAGTGTGACTGGGAGCGTCGGAGAGTGTGACTGGGAAGCGTCGGAGGTGTGACTGGGAGCGTCGGAGGTGTGACTGGGAGCGTGGAGGTGTGACTGGGAAGGCGTCGGAGGTGTGACTGCAGGAGCGTCGGAGGTGTGACTGAAGGCGTCGGAGGTGTGACTGGGAGCGTCGGAGGTGTGACTGGGGAGCGTCGGAGGTGTGACTGGGAGCGTCCGGAAGTGTGACTGGGAGCGTCGGAGGTGTGACTGGGAGCGTCAGGTGTGACTGGAGCGTCGGAGGTGTGACTGGGAGCGTCGGAGGTGTGACTGGGAGCACGTCGGAGGGGTGTGACTGGGGAGCGTCGGAGAGGTGTGACTGGGAGTCGGAGGGTGGCGACTGGGGAGCGTCAGGGTGTGGGCTGGGGAGCGTCGGAGGGGTGTGACTGGGGAGCGTCGGAGGTGTGACTGGGAGCGTCGGAGGTGTGACTGGGAGCGTCGGAGATGTGAGCTGGGAGCGTCGGAGGTGTGACTGGGAGCGTCGGTGTGACTGCTGGGAGCGTCGGAGGTGTGACTGGGGAGCGTCGGAGATGTGACTGGGAGCGTCGGAGTGTGACTGGGAGCGTCGGGTGTGACTGGAGCGTCCCGGAGGTGTGACTGGGAGCGTCGGAGGTGTGACTGGGAGCGTCGGAGGTGTGACTGGGAGCGTCGGAGGTGTGACTGGGAGCGTCAAGGTGTGACTGGGAGCGTCGGAGGTGTGACTGGGAGCGTCGGAGGCCATGACTGGGAGCGTCGGAGGTGTGACTGGGAGGCAGCCGGAGGGTGTGACTGGGAGCGTCGGAGGTGTGACTGGGAGCGTCGGAGGTGTGACTGGGAGCGTCAGGTGTGACTGGGAGCGTCGGAGGTGTGACTGGGAGCGTCGGAGGTGTGACTGGGAGCGTCGGAGGTGTGACTGGGAGCGTCGGAAGTGTGAGCTGGGAGCGTCGGAGGTGTGACTGGGAGCGTCGGAGGTGTGGGCGCTGGGAGCGTCGGAGGTGTGACTGGGAGCGTCGGAGGTGTGACTGGGAGCATCGGAGGTGACTGGGAGCGTCCGGAGGTGTGACTGGGAGCGTCGGAGGTGTGACTGGGAGCGTCGGAGGTGTGACTGGGGAGCGTCGGAGAGGTGTGACTGGGAGCGTCAGAGGTGTGACTGGGAGGAGCGTCGGAGAGTGTGACTGGGAGCGTCGGAGGTGTGACTGGGAGCGTCGGAGGTGTGACTGGGAGCGTCGGAGGTGTGACTGGGAGCGTCGGAGGTGTGACTGGGAGCGTCGGAGGTGTGACTGGGAGCGTCGGAGGTGTGACTGGGAGCGTCGGAGAACGACTGGGAGCGTCGGAGGTATGACTGGGAGCGTCGGAGGGTGTGACTGGGGAGCGTCGGAGAGGTGTGACTGGGAGCGTCGGAGAGTGTGACTGGGAGCGTCGGAGGGTGCTGACTGGGAGCGTCGGAGGTGTGACTGGGGAGCGTCGGAGGTGTGACTGGGAGCGTCGGAGGTGTGACTGGGAGCGTCGGAGGTGTGACTGGGGCGTCGGAGGGTGTGACTGGGAGCGTCGGAGGTGTGACTGGGAGCGTCGGAGGTGTGACTGGAGCGTCGGAGGTGTGACTGGGAGCGTCGGAGGTGTGACTGCAGGAGCGTCGGAGGTGTGACTGGGAGCGTCGGAGGTGGCGACTGGGAGCGTCAGGTGTGACTGGGAGCGTCAGAGGTGTGACTGGGAGCGTCAGAGGTGTGACTGGGAGCGTCGGAGAGTGTGACTGGGAGCGTCAGGTGTGATGAGCGTCAGGTGTGACTGGGGCGTCGGAGAGTGTGACTGGGGGCGTCGGGTGTGACTGGAGCGTCGGAGAGTGTGACTGGGGAGCGTCGGAGGTGTGACTGGGAGCGTCGGAGGTGCTGATGACTGGGAGCGTCGGAGGTGTGACTAGGAGCGTCAGGTGTGACTGGGGAGCGTCGGAGGTGTGACTGGAGCGTCAGGAGGTGTGAGCAGGCGTCGGAGAGTGTGACTGGGAGCGTCAGAGTGTGACTGGGAGCGTCGGAGAGTGCGACTGGGAACGTCAGGAGAATGGCTGGGAGCGTCGGAGGTGTGACTGGGAGCGTCCGGAGGTGTGACTGGGGCGTCAGGTGTGACTGGGAGCGTCGGAGGTGTGACTGGGAGCGTCGGAGGTGTGACTGGGGCGTGGAGGTGTGACTGGGAGCGTCGGAGGTGTGAGCTGGGGAGCGTCGGAGGTGTGACTGCAGGAGCGTCGGAGGTGTGACTGGGGCGTCGGAGGTGTGACTGGGAGCGTCGGAGAGGTGACTGCAGGAGCGGTCGGAGGTGTGACTGGGGCGTCGGAGGTGTGACTGGGAGCGTCGGAGGTGTGACTGGGAGCGTCCAGAGTGTGACTGGGAGCGTCGGAGGTGTGACTGGGAGCGTCGGAGGTTGTGACTGGGAGCGTCGGAGGTGAGCTGGGGAGCGTCGGAGAGTGTGACTGGGAGCGTCGGAGAATGTGACTGGGAGCGTCGGAGGTGTGACTGGGAGCGTCGGGTGTACGGCTGGGGCGTCGGAGGTGTGACTGGGTGGGAGCCTGGAGGTGACTGGGAGCGTCGGAGGTGTAACTGGGAGCGTCGGAGGTGTGGAGCGCTGGAGGTGTAACTGGGAGGTCGGAGGTGTAACTGGGAGCGTGGAGAAAGAGTGAACTGATGTGAAAAGGAGCAATCACTGGGAGAGTCTGAGGGAATCAGGCGCCGGAGGTGTAACTGGGAGTGTCGGAGGTGTAACTGGGAGGTCGGAGGTGTAATCGGAGTGTCGGAGGTGTAACTGGAAGTGTCGGAGGTGTAACTGGAGGAGTAACTGGGGTCAGTACCACACCACCATCACTGCTGCCATTGACTTACCACCACCACTGCCCCACCACAACACCACTGCCCCACCCACCACCACTGTCCCACCACGCCCACTAGCCCCACCAGAGCCACTGACCCCAACCACGCCCCCTGCCCTACCATAACCACTGGCCCCAGCAACTGCCCACCCCACCACCACCACTGGTCCGTCACTGACTCACCACCACCACTGTCACACCACCACCACCACTGACACACCCCTGCCCACCACTCACTGTCCAACACCGCCCCAACTGCCACTCCTCCGCCACTGACCCACCACTCCCCACCACAGCCAACTGCCCCACCACCACCCACTACTGCCACTGACCCACACCATCACCA